CAAGTACGCCTCCCCCCTCACCTCACCCCACGGCCTCACACCCACACCCACCCACCCTCCACTGCTCCCTCCGCTCCGCTCGCCCTCGCGCGCCATGTCCGAGGAGGACGAGGACCAGGCGGGGGCGCCGCCCAAGCGGCCGCGCGCGGCGTCGCCGCCTCCGCCGCCGCCGCCGCCCGACCAGGTGCTCGACAACGTGCTCGAGACGGTGCTCCAGTTCCTCAGGGCCCCGGGCGACCGTGGCGCGGCCTCCCTCGTCTGCCGCTCCTGGCACCGCGCCGAGTCCGCCACCCGCGCCTCCCTCGCCGTCCGCAACATCCTCGCCGCCTCCCCGGCCCGCGCTGCGCGCCGCTTCCCCAACGCGCACCACATCCTCCTCAAGGGCCGCCCCCGCTTCGCCGACTTCAACCTGCTGCCCCCCGGCTGGGCCGCCTCCGCCTTCCGCCCCTGGGTCGCCGCCCTCGCCGCCGCCGCCTTCCCCGCGCTCCGCTCCCTCTCCCTCAAGCGCATCACCGTCACCGACGACGACCTCGACCTCCTCGCCCGCTCCCTCCCGCCCTCCTTCCGCGAGCTCTCCCTCCTCCTCTGCGACGGCTTCTCCTCCCGCGGCCTCGCCTCCCTCGCCTCCCATTGCAGGTAATATAATGCCATTCCCTTCCATTCCAGCTTGCTCACACTACTCGGTAATGGCGGCATGATAATAGCGTATCTCTATTTGGTTTGGTTCTCGCGCAGAGGGCTGCGTGTGCTCGACGTGGTGGACTGCGAGCTCAACGAGGAGGAGGACGACGAGGTGTCGGACTGGGTGGCGGCGTTCCCGCGGGGGCACACCGACCTGGAGTCCCTCTCCTTCGAGTGCTTCACCCCGCAGGTACCGTTCGCCGCGCTCGAGGCTCTCGTGGCGCGCTCGCCGCGCCTCCGTCGCCTGCGCGTCAACCAGCACGTCTCGCTCGGTCAGCTGCGCCGGCTCATGGCGCTCACGCCCCGCCTCACGCACCTCGGCACGGGCTCGTTCCGGCCGGGGGACGGCGCCGAGGACGAGGGGCTCGACTTCGGCCAGATGCTGACCGCCTTCGCGTCGGCCGGCCGGGCCAACTCGCTGGTCTCGCTCTCCGGCTTCCGTGATCTCGCGCCGGAGTACCTGCCGACCATTGCCACGGTCGCTGCCAACTTAACCAGCATGGACCTGAGCTACGCCCCTGTCAACCCCGACCAAGTCCTGCTCTTCATCGGGCAATGCCGCAGCCTTGAGACGCTATGGGTACTAACCAGACTGCTTTCTCGCCATAGTTCTTGCCTCTGGGCTGCTCCATGGTTCCCAATTTCTGATGACAAGTTCTTTGCCAGGTGCTCGACTCAGTGCGCGACGAGGGGCTCCAAGCCGTGGCGATGTGCTGCAAGAAGCTCCAGGTTCTCCGCGTGCTCCCATTGGACGCGCACGAGGACGCAGATGAGCTGGTGTCGGAGGTCGGGCTCACCGCCATCTCCGAGGGCTGCCGTGACCTTCGGTCCATTCTCTACTTCTGCCAGAGGATGACCAACGCCGCCGTCATCTCCATGTCGCACAACTGCCCCGAGATGAAGGTGTTCCGGCTATGCATAATGGGGAGGCACCGGCCTGACCACGTGACGGGGGAGCCGATGGACGAAGGGTTCGGCGCCATTGTCCGCAACTGCAGCAAGCTCACCAGGCTCTCCACGTCCGGGCACCTGACGGATCGAGCGTTCGAGTACATTGGCAAGTACGGCAGCTCCTTGCGGACGCTCTCCGTGGCGTTCGCCGGGGACAGTGATCTGGCGCTGCAGCACATCCTCCAGGGCTGCTCCAAGCTGGAGAAGCTCGAGATAAGGGACTGCCCGTTCGGCGACGCCGGCCTCCTCTCCGGCATGCACCATTTCTACAACATGCGGTTCGTCTGGATGTCGGGCTGCAGCCTGACGCTGCAAGGCTGCCAGGAGGTGGCGCGGCAGCTCCCACGGATGGTGGTGGAGCTGATAAACAGCCAGCCTGAGATCGAGAAGACAGACGGCGTCGACATCCTATACATGTATCGATCACTGGAGGGGCCAAGGGAGGATGTTCCACCATTTGTGAAGATCCTGTAAGAAGATTATAGGTGCTTGGCATCCTCGGTGCAGATCAAATGCAGCCCATGTAGCAAGACAGCAGGACGCCGGAGTCGCAGATATGAGAGGAGTGTTCGTTCAGCCATTGTTGTTGTAGTAGCTGTAGGGTTCATAGGTATTTCCAACATTTTCTACGAGAAGATCATAAGCGCGGCGGAGCAAGCTTCTTGGAGGGGCCTTCATCACCATTGCCTCCTCAGTTTTGTTTGCTGCTCCCTCTGAGAGGCCGCCTTCTGTTCGAGGACGGACCTATCCGCGCCGGCACGGCGGCGATGGTTTCCCTAATTTTTCGAAGCGAATCTTGTTATCATCAACATCAGATTAAACTCATTAACACTTCTATTCCATGTTCTTGTTTCGCATGGTTTCCCTTCCATAGTTCATTAGTCAGGTGCCAGAATCCTAAAATAATTTCTCCTGAATTGAGCCGTGTTATTTTGTTGGGATACGTCTCGAGCTTTGTGATCTGAATGCCCATCTCTGGTGGAAGTCTTTTTTTTGTTTTTGAAAAGCCCTCCCTCCCTGAAGGTCAGGGAGGCTGTCCATTCGTGATCTCCTGTGAATCCTGAGGTTTGGCAGGTGGTATCATTACCAGAGGACCTAGTATCACAACCTGGAGGTTCCATCCATCCACAGCCGGGTTCCTTACTCGAAAGTTTGGCCCTGGTCCATCCAGTGATTATTGCCTCGCGCCTATTTTGTCTTGATAGCCCTAGGCCTCTCCCGCCCTAGCCGACGTGTCCGCCTTCCACGGCCGGAGAGCGGAGACGTCGACTGCCTTCAAGTCTTTAGGCCAACTCCACCGCGCGACGCCAAACGGACGTCCGTTTTGTCCGGATTCTGTCCGTTTGGGTAGGGGTTTGGGGCCGTGTTCGGGCGTGTCCTGAGATGCGGTGGCCGTGCGCGCGGCCGCATCCATTTGCCCCATCCTGTCCGCGTCCACTTAAAAAACTAATTCAGCCAGCGTCCCCGGTTCATCACGCCGGCCTGCACGTCCATCGCCGGCATCAGCCAGCGGCCGGCAACACAGTCAGCCACCAAAATGAATAGTTCTCCTCGCCGGCAACACAGCCAGCGGCCGGCAACACAGCCGGCCTCCAAAATGAATGTTTTCTCGCCGGCACACTGCCAGCGGCCCCGACGGGCGGGCGGCACCCATGCCAGCCTCAAAAAGAACGGCCACGCCGATCGGATGACCTAGTTCAGGCCTTCGGCGTCGAGCATCTCCTTCTGTCTGGCCTCGAACCAGGCCCTCGTCTTGTCGCTCATCTTCGACAAGTCCACGCTCATGATCGCAAGGGCCACCTCCTTCGCTTTGGTGGCGGCATTGGTGGCCTCGATGTCGAGCTGCCTCTGCCTGGCCTTGACGTTGTCGGCCTCGATGTCCAGCTGCCTTTGCCGGGCCGCCTCCTCCATGTCGAGCTGCCTTTGCCGGGCCGCCTCCTCCATGTCGAGCTTCCTCCTCTTGGCCGCCTCCTCCATCTCAAGCTTCTGTCTTTGAAGGTCTAGGTATTGCTTCATTTGCTCGTCCTTGCTTTGCCGCTTCTTCTCGTCCCTTACATCCTTTTGGGACATCATGCCATGCAAAGTCTCATGCAAGGCCATGGATGAGGCGTCACGTATGTCGTCCACCTTGGAGTTGGTCTTGCCCCTCGGCCTCTTCAACGCCTCGCCATCCCCACCTCCGGCGAACTTGGCCGTCTTCTTGCCTCTCTTTCTTTGAAGTTCACGGTATTGGTCCTTGAACTTGGGGCAATTGTTGATGAGCGTCCAACAATGCGTAAGAGTAAATGGCTTGTCATTGTGCCGGGCCTTGAATGCCTCCAAAGATTGGAATGCCTACACCACATGATCAACAACAAATGAACATGCAAACATATACACGGC